TAACATTAATGGTAGTGCGGGGGGACTCAGTCACCCCAATCATTTGTTTTAATTATTTTTACTGTACACGATACAAATCGGAATTCTAGTGAATATTTTAATTTATAGAAAGTATACTTACCTTCTTTCAAGGACTATTCAATTCTTTGATGATTTCAGAAAAAATCCAATAAAACTGAACTAAAATGATTCAAAAGTACAAGACCATAATAAAGGACGCAAATCAGACACTTTTCAATTATCCTACAGAAATGTTAAATCAATCAATTCTTTTCCAAATATCGCAAAACTCAATTATTTACAATTTCCCTAAGCGAAAAGCAAACGCATAAAAGATGGGAGGGAACTAATATTGATAATAACCATACCATAAGATTGAAGGTCAATCAAATGATTAGCAAACGTACTATGCAGCCTGGCTGAAAAGTGAATCATGACTTCCTTTTCTTTTTCTACAACTAATGTACAGTATTTCAATAATAAATACAGTGGTGAATTGTTTATCTTCTTAGAATTTTTCTCAGGGTCTGGGTTTCGTTTTTTCTTTTAACGAGTAATATTTTATGTTAAAACGTAACAAAGAAATCTCTCATTGAGGAAATACAGCAAATAAAACAAAATGTTTTTTTTTTCTTTAATTTGGTTTTGGGAACAAAGATAGCTATTTGATGACGGAAAAAAGCCAGATAATAAACATAAATTATGTCAGTGTTGTTGTGTGTATTTTTTTTTATTATGGAAGGAAGCATTTTGTTTTACTTCTCTTTCCGGTTATTTTTTTTAAAAAAAATCTTTAAATTTTCGATACGCTCACGCCCCCCTTGTAGGGTCATCGCGCCCCCCCAGGGGGGCGCGCCCCACACTTTGAGAAACACTGCTATATACGCCAGGGGCACTTAAGAGGTTAAAGTCGAATTGCGGATTTAGTGTCAAAGTATTGATTATTATTAGTGATTTAGTATTGATTTCTACACATTGCTTTTGTATGGAGGGGGCTCGATAAAAATTGTGATTGAATATCGAGTCCCAAATATTGAAAGTTTGAGAAGCACTGGACTAATAACATGAAAATTTATTCATGATCTTTGTTTACAGCATAATTTATGTAAGACTCACACTGGTTTATATCTTGTACTTTTCAATATGATTAGACGAGATTAAAAATATTTGTTTTCATTCTTCAAAAGCTTTCAAAAAAGTGAGGGTAGGGGTAAATTGTAAAAGATTTTCAGAGTTTAACCATCCGACCAGAACATCCGTCTCTCAGACGGGAATGATTTGCTATGATGCATGCAGATAACGTTGTGGACTGCTTTGACATCTTCAGTTGGACTCTACCCAGTGAGAGAATCACGTGGTGGGGTACTTGGTGATATTTTCAACTCACGACATGTGCGACTTTCTTATCTATCACACGGATATTCCTAGAGTTTTTATCATTTCGGGTATTATTAATTTTAATAATTTTTACATGAAAGCAAATAATTTCTAATCAGCTTTTATAAAAATATTAGCCACAATTCTAGTGATAAAAATATATTAATATAGTGTGCCTCATAAAGACTTAAATAATAAAAATTGTATTTTCGGTTGTATGTTTCAAGTTTCTAATTAAATTGTGTAATGTATATATATATATATATCTTGAAAAAAAGTTCGGGCTTGTTTTAACCCCACACATCGTACCTGAGCTATATTTAATTTCATGAGTGATAAGGACATTTGAAACAGTCCTTAAGGTAATAAAATAACAATAAAAAAAAGATTTGCGTACTCGTCTGTCAGGCGGATGTTTCTCAGAATGCAAAGAAAACAATGTTCCGATCAGAGGGCTAAATAACAGATTTCTTCCACAGAGTAAAACATAATTTCTAAATAATAAAAATGTACACAGATTTTGAGAATATTCTTTAACTATATCATTGTGTTTGCAAAATCACAAAGAGCGCAAACGATGCTATGCATAACTTTAAATGAAAGAGAAAATTTAATATCTGCCTAGTTCTGCTGATATGTCTTGATAATAAAAAATTAGCTTTATTTATTAGACCATATGAGCAAAAGTTAACTATTTTCACTGGTGTTTGTTTAAGGTATCCGACTACGTTCGGAACTGTGATTTTGCAAAAGCTCATAAATGGATAATATTTATGATATTTAGTATCACTTAGATTAGAAAACGTATATAAAATTGTTTTAAGAATAGTATTACAATAAAACATTTAAGTACAATATTTTAACAAAAAATGAACATTGAAATTTCAAACCGTTCCAATTTCAAAACATTCTCCTTTTATGAAAAATGATTCTATTATAATAATATTTTACCTAAATATAGATCAGACCTCTCTGTACAGAGGCTGAACTAGAACTTTTGAAATATATAACTTAGAAGTGGATTTATCCATATACACTATTTTACTACAACCGAAGGGAGAGATTTTAAGAAAAAAACGCCGATAATTATTTCAATTGGTGGTAACTCCAAAAATAATGTGAATTTATCAAAAACCTTAGTTCAGACTCTCTGGAGAAGTCGTTACTTTATGTGAGCAAAATAGTATTATTATAGAAGCATTTTTTATAAAAGGAGAACGTTTTGAAAAAAAGGTTATTCAGAGTTAATTTTTTTGCCAAAATATTGTATTTAAATAATTTTTTTCGTCATAATGTCCTTAAAACTATTTTATACATGTATTCTAATCTAAGAGACACTAAATATCATGAGAACTATTCATTTATGCGCTGTTTTAAAAATTAACTGCGCAGATCATGATTCCAAACGTATGTCGAAAAGCTGCCAGAGGTGGCTTTACTACTTACTGATTTTTAACCTTTTGCAAGCTGTAACAATAAAATGGATTTTTAATCGTCATCCACTACCCAACTGTGTTTTTATATTACTACGTGGTAACTCCAAAAATAATGAATTTATCAAAAAACCTTAGTTCAGACTTCTGGAGAAGTCGTTACTTTATGTGAGCAAAATTATTATAGAAGCATTTTTTAGAAAAAAAATTCAGAGTTTCTCAATCCTGAATTTATAAGAATGTTTGGGACATACGCACACATAAAGATTCCAAACAAATAGCCAGGATTCGTCATCCACTACCCAACTGTGTTTTTATATTACTACGTTGATAAAAAAAAAAAAAGCTTAATCGAATTTATAAGCGTTTTTCACTGAAGAAAAAATTACTATTAATTTTTATTTTAAACAAGCAACTCAAAAATTATTTTTAGCAGATTAGTCTAAAATTAAATTAAAAAAAAAGATACGAGCCTTACAGTAGTCGCATAGGATGTGTGACATCTGACATGTTATCGCGGAAAATACGCAAAAAAGTAACTTAAATCCTGAAAAAAATAAATTAAGTATGATTGGAAATAATTTTGTATCGAATAATTATATCTTTAATGAAAATTTTATTTAGGAGTAATGCAATTTTTAATCAAAAGTATTTATTCTTGTTCAATTTGGGGAAGAATGGATACAATAAGCTTATGATAAATAAAATATGTCACATATACTTTTGATTTCAAAGTATTTAAAAACCGCTGAAAAACAGCGTCAACAACAGTACTACTGTTGTTTGCCGAAATATTTTGATTTGTATTCATTTCGAGCTTTAGTTAATCAGCCAAAAAAGCTATGAGCGGCTCAACTTCTGGCAAACTGAAATCACCACTCAAAATCATATTAAGCGGGTGATAGTTTGTTCTTAAAAGAGAAGAGCCATGTTCGGTATATGGTAAAAGTACAAAATGCAGGAAATCTTAAATTTTTTGAACCGTTTAATTCGGAGAAATGTATACGGCCACCGAAATCACTGTTTGTCCATTTTCAAATATGCATTCTGCCACACATATATCCCGAATATCTTGAATAGCAATACCCAGTCCACTTGATGACGATAAATAATGCCCATGTGAGGATTCACAACATATGAGTTGTTCTGTTTGCTATTGACAGCGACAGGAATCAACCTCGAAATATGAAAAATATGCGCACTAAAATATTTATTCGAATAATTCCATATTGCTTACTCGTATATTCTTAAGAATGTTGAACTTTTTCAGACACTTAACAGTAAATATAATTATTAATGTAGTTTACACATATAAATTAACCTCAGATTTCTTACACTATGAGTCCTGAGACTGACAATTGAGCGTACGGTTCGTAAGTTTATCCTAAATAAGAATTCGAATCTTTTGAAATGCTAATTTTAACAATATAAAAAAAGAACAACTACCTACTAGAGTTGGACCCTATGCGAGGGTAGTGAAGAAACACTGTAATGCGAGTTGGACCTCGAAGTGAGGGTGGCGAAGAGACCCATCACGCACGCTCATTGGTCAAATCAAATAGCGCGCCCTTACGTCATTTCCTGTTACCCACATCCGTCCCTTTCGACGAAATCACTCGAACAAAATTAGACAATCAAGAGGAAAGATGTTACACATAAAAAATGTGTGTGTACTTATGTAAGCACGTAAGAATTTACATTTCTTTTGCGTAACAAGATTAAATTATTTATAAAAATCTTGATCAAGGCAAGCAGGGCCAAGGCCGAAATGTGGTCATGAGCAGAGTTGAACGATATTAACCTTCAGTCAATCGAAACAGCCAAACCCGAGATAATCACGATTTAAATAAATTTAAGCACCTCCGCACAGGGACAACAGGACTACTAACATGTTGGTTTCCGGCAGACTGTATCTGGAGATGAGTTGAACCGAATGTGACACTTGAGACCTCACATTGAATGTCTTGGCGGGAAGAATTGTTCCTGAGAAAATTAAAACGTCCGTCTGTAGAGCCCCCGAGTTATGGTCATTTTAAAATAATTAAAACATTTAAAACAATTAAATAAACTAGAAGCAGGGCACCCAGCAACTCGAAATTGGACCTAGTTGTGAGGAAACACAAAAGGAATCTATTCGAACGGGTCCGGAGTCTGTAGTTGCAAATGGGGTGGTGCTAGCTCGGGATATCCAAGAACATAGCTCAGTGGTAAAGTTTTCGACTGCAGATCAAAAGGTCCCGGTTCAAATCCGGGTGCCCCTTTTTTCAGAGAAGTGAGGAGAATTTTTTTTTTTTTTTTTTTGAGAATTTCGAATGCGGAAATGATCTGTCCCGTTCTGTATATTTCCAGACAAAGCATTTTCGCATCCGTGACGGTGTGCGCGCGCAATGTAAAAATTTACCCTCAGCCTTCTTTCCTAACACCTAAGAAGAAGAATAACTTCAAAAAGTTTAAATGATTAAAATAAAAATAAACATTTTTAGGTATTTAATTAATTATTGATAATTTATTGAATGTATTAAAATAATTTTGTTTAGAATTAATAAAACTTGTGTTCTATTTTACAGTTACTTCAATGATTTTATTACTCAGCTAAAGCAAAATAATTTAATATTACGCGACAAAAGATATATGAGCAAACGATAAGTATAAATTAAATCACTAGGCTTGTCCAATAGTGCTGTATCAGTTTTCATCATAGTCATTTCCTTCAACATGATTTTAAATTATTTAACCCACTTATTTTAAATTTTAGAATTTCAAATTTTATAATATATATATATATATATATATATATATATATATATATATATAAAAAGTAATATTTGTAAGATTATTCATTTTTCAAAATAAAATTCTTAGGCTTATTTATTAAAAAAATGTTGTATGCTTACAAAATTGAATAAATAATGGGTTTTCTTTAAAAGAAAATAGAATTATCCACTTTTGATAATGTAGAAAATTTTCAAGTCACCGATTGCAGGAAAAAAAACATGTTTGTCTTTAAAATTCTAATTCATGATACTCAATATAAACCACATTGTCAAACAGAATAAGCGATTTGAAAAGCAACTTTTTTTTAAATACCGCAACAAATCACGTGATATTTTCATAAAATTACACGACGAATGTTAGTGATTGTATGATCGCAAAAAAAAAAAAAAAAAAAAACGCTTTTCAAATGGAAAAAAAAGGCATCGGGTAATGAGACTAAATACACAATAGAATGCTCTATTTGTCGTAGCTTGATTAATTTTGATTTAAGTTAATCTCTCAATTCACAAGAAGCTAACTTCCTAAAATTGGCTTATATGGATGTTTATTTTAATTAATTTGAGTGAATATATTAAACATTTTGAAAAAAACTCTGGAAATGGACTGCTTGAAAATTTCTTTCTAATACAGAGTGAGTCTCATAGTGTTGGCGTAAGAGAATTAATGAAAAAAATCTTTTTACTAAAAATATATAGAATGCAGAAAAATTTGAATCTGTTGATTAGATTGATGTCTGACATAAATAGAAGTCTGCAAATGATGATATAATTTAAGTATTTAATTTTGTTTCCTAAAAAAATTAGAAACACAGGAATGTTAGGACTATTCTATTTTAGAAGTCCGCTAAAACATGAATTAAATTATATTCCTAAATTATAGACATTTTTAAATAAGTAATTTTTGTAGTATCGTATTTTAATGGGGTTTGTTATTTGAACGTGTTGTATAATTTATTTTCAATAATTTGTTTTTTTTTTTTGCATTCAAGTCCCACTAAAAGTTCTAAGATATTTCCTATTAAATATTTTATTTTTTTAAATAATTCATATTTTTCTTTGTGAGGAACATATAACCTGAATAATTAGGCAACTAAAGTGAATGATGGTTTTGTGCTTCGCATTTCTGTTATTATTCATGAAGAATGAATTGAACAGTATTATTTTGAATAATACTTCAATATGTATAATGCCTACCCCTTAAAAGAATTTTTCAAATGTTAATTGATAACAACGAAGCTTTTCAATGTTTTGGGAAAATCAAATAAAGTACTAAAAAAGATAATTGAAAATTCAATACAATATAACTATCTCAATGTACTTAAAAGAGCATGTGAATAATTCACATAATATTACTTCACGCACACACACACACACACACAACTTGGTCTTTTTGATAAAATTCTTTTTTTTACTCAAAGTCTTTTTCGTATTAAATCATAAGTAAATTTGAATGTCCTTTTCACATTTTTTAGCTTTAGTGTGCTAATTTTAAAATATAAAAGAACAATTAAAATAAACAAATATAGCGAATATAATAATGTTTAACAAATAATTGTTTTATTCGCCGTAAATTCGAAATAAACTTTTGTGATACATTTTTTTCCTGTGAGAACTGTAGAAATAATATTTAAGTTTCATCATTTTCAAACTGCTTCATTTTATTGAACCAAATTTGCTTAATACCCCAAAATTGAGATAAAAGTAATTCTAAACAAAGAAATTCTCTGCTGACCGCACAAAATACACCATGAAAGAAGCATGTAAACCATGTGAAACCTACAGCATATTTTGGCGGTGATGAACTATGCAAATCATTAGCATTATAGTGTAGACGCACATCACGGTCGACCGTAGCGTCACCCGCAAGGGCTATATGTCGAAAGAACTGATTGGCAATTTGAAGTATGACAATTGTTTTTTGTCGTACGGTTTAAATTTTTTTATTTTTTACGTAAGCTGTATACCTACGCCTTGTGGAAGACACCTAACATCTTTTTTGACCAAGGTTCTGAATTCGACCGAGAAATAATAGTAGCCTATATAGATATTGCAAATTATCCTTCAGAGAATTCAGTCAACGAGTTTGACAAAACCAAACAACTGTGATGTGGATCTGTCATTGCTGGATGCTCGAATAAAAGATGGACCGACAAGGCTGATAGCACCCACCTCGTTTCATGATTGCCGGTGATGGCAGGAGGGATATTTCACTTCGCCACATTATGAAGCGTAACACAACAGATTCAGTCTCTTAAGCATCATTTGCTTTCCACTCCATTTGCAACAGAGTGGAATGTCCACAAGAGTCCATTGCTTCGTTTACCCTTGACTGGAAAACACAAGTGTTTGCGTCGTCAATGGTGCGATGATATTGGATTTCACTGCCGCATTCCTCTTGTACGCATTACCGGTACACTGAAGAGTTCACTGTACATCTCTGACGGGTTGGGTCTCGTGGTCCTCCCATACATTCAGCGCTTGCCACTAGCCGTATTCCAACAGGATAATGCGCGACCACATGTGACATGTAATGTTCAAAAGTTCTTCTTTACCCATCGGATTGAATTGCTTCCTTGATCTGCTTGTTCTCCCGATCTATCGTAAATCGAAAGCGTGTGGTCCATGCTTGTGCAACGACTGGCACGGGATATAACCCGCTGTCGCACCAGATCAACTTAGGCAATATGTAGTAGAAGTATAGACTGCTGTACCCTAAGGATACATCCATAGCCTTTTTGATTCTATGCGTAGGGGTGTGGTAGCGATTATAGCCAACAATGACGGCTGCTGATTTTGTCATCATTCACACGTCACAAGAGGCTGCAATTTTAATCGTTTGATCTTTGTACAACATGTTATCTTCCAAATAAATTTCGCTGTGATATCTCTGGTCACTCTTGATGTTGTATTTTGTGTCTCCAGTAGTGTATATACGAGGGCTTTAAACTAATTAATGATAATATGGGTATAAATAAATTTGCAATGAACTTCCAAGTACAATTACATTATATTCCTTCCAAGTAATCCTTAACAAATCTTAGAGCCTTTTGCGAAGCGTTAGGAAGCCTTTGTATACTAGTGGTAAGGTGTTGATTGTTGATGTCAGTGATGGAGCGCCTTAATTCAGGGTCATAGAATCATGCCCACATTTCATCAATGGCGGCAATACACTCCTGAAATGCGTCTTTTTCATCGTTGTATCTTACCATATGAATGCTAACGAGTGCATATATGAGCCATTTCTGTATTTTATTTAGTTGATGACCAGTGCTGACCCAGTGAATAGAAATTTTTCTCATGTTCAGACATTTCTTCCTTATGTGCCACAGTATTTGATGACTGAAACCAACCACTGAATCTAATTCCTAGACAGTCTATCTACGGTCTATGAATAAGAGACCATTCTAGATGTCATTTGGATCATGAGGACCAACCTGTGCATAGCAAATCCGCAATCTCATTCAGAACCGAACGAAATACTTTAACCAATAATACGTTAATGCCTTTGCACCGCCGGCTTTAAGTAATCTACGATAACATTATGTTGCATTTTTGCCATGGGCAACCTCAGGGCCACAACTGCTGATTCCCCTTTGAAAACATATTTTAGAGCAAGGGTGACCAACCCTTGCTCTAAGTCCCCGTCATGCCACAGCATGGCACGGCGGGTTGTAACAATGGCATGCAAAGCTTTTCTGAAAAATTAAAAGATTTAAAAAATGAATAGATAACATTTTTTTTAGAATTCAGTTGAAATGTAGTTGACTCAGACAAAAAAAAAAGGAACTCTCATTTTTTTTAAATACGTTAAATAAGTTGAATTACACAATAGGAAATTATCATGCAGATAATAATCTTCAATGTTGTGTGCGCTGACTTTCCAACGGAAAGTGTACTCGTGAGATTTTGATATTTGATTAACCCTCTAACCGGATAGCACGGAAAATTCCGTCAGTGTAAAGATGCTTTGAAAATGCACTGCACGGATTTTTCTGCCTTCAAGTAACGTTTTCAAAAGCGGATTAGCCGCACTTTTCTGAAATCCTTTCCCCCTTTTAAAGGTTTAACTTCTTGAAAGATAATTGGGGACGCTGGAAGCAACACAGCAGGACACTAATAGGAAGTTTTATGGCTCGCAGGAAACCCCATGTTTTGACTCTGGGGCAATCGTAAAAAACCGAGGGGAAATTTCTTTAGACCCCAGGAAGTGTTTATTTGTTACCTCGTTTTTTTAAAGTTTTGAAAAGTCCCAACGCATAAGTAAAATATGTTAAATTCCCTTTTGGTTTCATATTAATTTGAAACTGTAACAAGTTGGGGCGTGTCAGTGCAATCTGCTATTTTATATAGTTAGACAAATTATTTTTTTTAAGTATATTCTTTCGCTTCATTTTTCTTATTTGAATCAAAGCTTTCAGTTTTTGAAGCATGATTATTTTATTATAAGATACTGAAAAAATTAATAAAACACCGAACTCTTTAAAATTT